ACCTGAAATGAGTGCTGGAAAGAAGAGAAAATTAACATACATTAGGTCAAGAACATGTATATATCTATGAGCACACAATCAGAAAATTCTGACGTTTGGCTAATGTCCTAATGCTAAATTTCCAATTTTCCATGAACTACACTAGAACAAACAGTATGTAAACTATCAAAAGCTGCCTATAAGACATGGTTTATCAGTTTAAAATAGTTAATGGTGCTATGGTTCTGGTCACTGATGTGGTCAATTAGTTGCTCGGCTACCTCAGTCATGGGGGGTAGAGATACGGAATCAACACACAGACTCCAGGAACTGGTAAGAGAACTGGCTGGATACCCACCTCACGTCATTGTCCAGTAGCTCAGTTTATTTTTAGAATTCATGCGATTTTTATGGGATTTGAGTGGGGTGTGCCCATCAATTATATACATAAGCAAGATAGTATCCATAAGCCAATCATCTTATGCCTAATGTAACCACACTATGAAGATGCTCTAAATATTGCTATCATCAGGAAGGGTCTTTGTCCCTAAGGGAGTGGGTTTCTAAGTTAAGAGTTTCATGCCTGAAGCTCCTAGCTATCGGTTTCCTGGTCTGGCAGCTTGGCAACGCTATCCACAAGTGCTAAGGATGTGGTTTCACTAATGTCTCACTAGAGTAGAGCATCCCATCCTGCAGGCATTCCTATCAGGCCTGAATGAGTGTAGATTCTTTAAGCACTCTGAGCTGCTCATAGTTGCTAGCTGCTAGCTGTAAACTGAAAGTTATTTCAACATAACGGTATACTTGAGAAGATATACATACAAATATTAAATACAAATACAAGATATTTAGAATCCTATCTATTGTATGAATTATAATCACTAGAATAAGAGCAAATAAAGAATATTTAAGAAGAGAAAATTTAAAGAAAATAATAGGAGAGTGTTGGAAAAGGAAAAAATAAGATGGTTGACTTTTGACAAAAGCAAGAAATGTAAAAGGAGTTCCAATTAATGCTACAAAATGAAAAAGAAATCTGTACAAATTTGAAAACATGCTCAAAATAATGTTTAAAATAAATCTTTGCAAGTTGTAGAAGGGACAAAATGTTTTAAAAGTCGTTATTTGATATTATACCCATCTGATAAATGAGAGTAGAAGATGAACCTGGGGCCTGTTGAAAGATTATTTGATATTGATAAATGATACCATACTTAATAATTTGTCTACCATGAATCACATGGATTGAATAATAGAGTCCCAACATATAAAATAATACCTACTAGTTATGAGAAGAATTAGCAAAATCACATTGCAACTGGAAAGGTAACCCTACTTCTCTCAATCTTTGATGGAGAAAGTAGACAAAAGGGGATTTAATTGAATACATGACTTACTATATGTACATCAAACTTTAACTATATTTAGCCCCCAAATCTGAAATCTGAAAATGCTTGAAAATCTGAGAATGTTTGGTCACTATGACACCACAACTGGAAAATAGCCTTCCCCACATAGTAGCCCCTACCTTTTTGACAATGGACAGGGCCTAGATGCAGCTGCATCTCCGAGCAGGTATCTCAAAGGGAGTGTGGGGTTCTCACCTTCAGCCCCATCTGTGTAAGACATTACTTCCATCTTAGGGCACCTTAACTATTATCTCAACTTACCTCAGCTATTGCCACCACCACTTTTAGATGCAGTAGCATATTTTGAGGGACACCAGCAGGGTCTGGAAGCCCAAAATCAAGGTTAGGTACAGGCAATATGGATGGGTACTACAAGAATATAGGGAATAAACTGTAATATCTCAGATCCACACTGCAAGAAAGGAAGACACATAGACAACAGGAAAAAACAAGAGAGGAAAGTGCCCCAAACAAACTAGAATACTATAATAACAGAATTCATGGACAGCAAAGATGCTGAAATATCAGAGAAAGAGTTTAGAAAGTTCATAATTAAAATAATCTGTGAATTAAAAAATGAACTGAATGAGCAATTATAGACAAAAATTTATCACTCCAACAAAGAGATAAGAAAAAAAACACAAGTAGCAAAAAGATTACTTCAAGAGAGAGAGACTCTGAAAAAAAAAATACAGTCAGAAATCCTTAGAATAAAGGATACAAGAAATCAAATAAAAAACTCAATGGAAAGCATAATCAACAGACTAC